TTTGGCTTCTGCGTGATCAGCTTAGAATCTTTGTATATACTGTAAGTTTTTTTACTGTTAGTAATCAATAATATTAAATTTACCACTTTTAATACATTTTTGAACTTTTTCCCGCATTTTGTAAAATATATTGTCATTGTTCAAATATACATTACATCTGACTTTCAGAAAATAAGTTTAAAACATTAAAAAAATATATGGTAAAATATAATTCAAAATATTTTTCTAACAATGTTAACTGTTTATAAAAATAAAATGTATTAGTTAAGGAATTGGATGGCACAGTTGTTAGCATGCTATTTGTATGTTTTTCTTTCATAAATATAACAGTAGTACCAGATGTCTCAGTGGCTTTCAAAATTAAAATTTGCATGCAAACCTGTGAATTAGAGAGATAACTAAGCTATCCATCCATTTCTAATTGTGGTGAAGTGGATAGCATTGCTATCTTGTAGCACTGGGGCCCTAGGTTCAATTCTTGCCATCCTGTGTGTGTGGAGTTTGCATGTTCTCTCTGGGTTCTGTGGGTTTTCTCCATATGTGTGATATGATTTCCTCTCACAGTCCAAAACAATGGCGTACGGGAAAACTGGCCCTGGTGCGCGTGCGTGCGCGTGCGTTCGCGTGTGTGCGTGCGTGTGTCTTGTGATGGACTGGTGCTATGTCCAGGGTGTATTCTGCTTTGCGACCTTTGCTTGCTGGGATAGGATCCAAATCCTCTGTACTAGATAAAGAGATTAGAAAATGGATGGTTGTAAAGACACTGTGTGGATGGAACTATATACGGTATTAGAAACCCACTATGAGATGGCAGTATCTCACTGAGGATAAATTATTTTATAGTGCTGGCTTAAAGAAACAGTCTTTCCACCTCTGTTGCTCATCAGTGTCCATACCTAGTTAGTTATTTAAACAAATTGCTTCTAAATAGAAACATCTTAAGATGCTTCCTGTTCACTGGGGTATTTAAATCTGCACTCAGCAATATCCAATATGTTCAGAATGTGACAGCCAGGATCCTGATCGGGTTGCATTACGCCAGTCTTCAAGTTCTTACATCATGTTTCGAGTCAACTTCAAAATCCTCATCCTCATTCAGTATCTATCTGGCTTATTATCTGTCTTCTCCCCACTTTGCAAGCATTGTCCATCTGACCCTGGTCTTCTAGCTGTCCTCAAGAACATCTACATTCTGTGGGTGACAGGACCTTCTCAAACTGCAACCCAGAGCTCTGGATTTGTATCCCTAGTGATATCAGAGTCACCTACCCTGAGTGCATTTAAATCTATCCTTTCTTTTCAGAAGACTTAGTGTCTGTATCTGCTTCATTTTCTAATTTTGGATGTACTTCTAACTGCTTGTCTTTCTTATATGTATTTACTTTGTAATCTGTGGTCCTTATAACTGGTTTTACACCTACTGTATTGTTTTGAGATGCTACTTTTAAAGGTGCTATATAAAATAAAGTTTTTATTATTGTTATAGAGAAAGATGATCAGATTTTCCTTGGTTTAGAAAAAAAGATCTAAAGTATACTAGTTTGTCACTCTTCTCACACCCTCTTTGTTAAATGGCTTTGCATACTAATCTGATCAATCTAACTACCTATTTTCTGCGTATATTATTTATTTATAATTATTCTGAAAATCTTCTTCTTGAAATGAGTCATTTCTAAATACCTGTTTTCACTGTTAACATCTTGCAGCAAATCTGCAACAAAATATACACTTAGCTCAACCTGACAGTTAATCCTGCTACCAACATTGAATAAAAAAATCTTTAGATTTCTATATTTATGTCTTTATTTAATGGTTTCATTAGTGACAATGGCTAAAATTTCTTTCATGTGTTGCAAACTGACTTGCTTTAACAAAACATAGTTACAAATCCTTTCACCTGGCAATCTACCAGAATGCCAAACTATCTGAGAAGCCCTCCATGAAACCATGTTTTCTATTAATTCATATAAGTCTCTCTGACAGAATTGCTGTTTTTTGTGTGCTAATTTTTGCACCTGATTATTCAAGCCTCTCACTCTCTGCCAAATCTATTTAATGTTTTCATGTTCTTTTGTAACACACACCTTTCTGTGATTGTTTTTGTACATCTAAGCCTTTGCAAGTATTCCCTCATCCCTCTTCTTCTCTTCTAAATGTCTAGTCATGGATTTTTTCTGTTTGCTTATATCAAAGTAACACCTGCTCCATTTCTAAAACTTTTCATGTGTATGTTTGTATTTTTATATTTATTTACACCTCTAGCACTTTAATGTCCTACATTTTCATTTGCCTTAATGTTTAGACTGAATTTTAGTTTAGCCTTAAAAAGCTTTTCTCTATCTTTTGTTTCTTGTCCTACAACCATTATGATTGATTAGCAAATTATTGCACTTCGCATTACTTTCTGGTGGAATCTTTTGCAGCCAAAATGTCACTGTTTAAATGAATAAGAAATGATATTGCTCATAAATATAATCACTTATTCTACATAAACACAACATAATTGCTCTCTGAAAATGCTCTTTTTCCTGTATGTTTTGAAGACCTTGATGGGAACTGATTGAAATGTCAGAAAGGATTTTTTTTTCCGGTGTATTTCTATTGCGGAAAAAGTGTGTATTTCCTACATTGCTTTATTTGTCAAGATTTTAACTTTATATTTAGGCTCAGATTTCAACTATAAAATATACACTGATTACTAGCAGTAAATGGATTAACTTTTTTTCGTATGTGGCTCTCCCTACTGTGATTCAGACACAGAACAATTAAAGATAGCAACAAGTCAGGCACCAAGAGGGGGTATGGGGGCTTCTTCCCGCCTCCATAACTAAAAAGCCAAATAGAAGTTGCTTAAGCAACATACACATACGACATACACATGTTGTGTAACTGACAGTTTGAGGTAGCCTATCATGTAAATTTCACTTTGTTGCTGATAGGTTAATATTTCAAAACTCAGTTCCTAAGTCCTATGGCTGATTTTCTCTCTGTTTTGGTGGTTAAACGCAAGGATCACAGGGACTTCCATGTTAACTAGGATGTGTAGTTTTTAATTCAGTTTGAATTATAACTGTGAGGGCGCGCCAAAAATTTTCGGTGCTGTTGTCTCCACTTTAAATGTACCCCCCTCGTGGAAGAATTTGATCTTGAACATGTGCCCAGGGAGAGAAAAGGAGGGAAGGGAGTAATGTTTGCCCCTCATGGACTGACAAAGCAATTGGGAAGTGTAAACTATATTTAGCCATTGCAAGCCACTGCAGCAGCCACAAATAAAAAAACAACTTTTTTTTTCCTTGATGGTAACTGTAACAAATTGTCACGTTTCACATCCTTGAGAAAAAATCATGACTTTCTCATCCAATCAAAGGTTTGATGTTTTTTTTTTTATTTTGAAACTGTGATCTTGACATGCAGGTGTGAAGTAGAGTTAACAGCTTCAGATTTAAAAGGTTATAAACAATATATATTCTGTGTCATATTAACATTGGAATGGTTTTACAAGTGTAAAAAGAGGTGTAACACAACGTGTATCCTTTATAACTCTTCAGTTTACAGAGAGATTTCGCCAGAGCCTCACAACATTGTCCAATAATACTCTTCTTGTGTCTAATTTTTAGTTTAGCAGGATTTGCACGATAAGCATGTTGTTTAATGGGGATGACATTACCCACGTCTTTACCACTGTACAACACTTGTTTGAGTCGGAGTGTCTGTTAATAAAACAGAGCGCCTTCCAATACATATACTGTAAATACTTCAGGTGGGTAGCTGTTCATGCATTTAGCCAATAGGAGGGGTGAGTGTCACTGGTTATTGTCCTTTCAATGCCATTTTGTGCAATTAAACAACTGGAGATTGCTTGTCTGATCTGGCCAGTAGAACTGGATTTAACTCCCATAATTGACAGTATTCACTGTCATTCATTTAATTACTGCATTATTTATATTATTTTCATATTTACACATACTTATTGTGATACATATACACATGTATGATTAATAAAGATGTCAACAATACAATATAAATCTTATTTATTTTATTTAGACATTACAGAAAGATACTATATTTTTTAAAAGTTCAGAAAGCACATTGGCCTGGACGCAAGCCCGGACCTTCCAGCTTATAGGTGACAATGCTACCACAGGACCAAATCAACACTCAAGCATTTCATTTTCCATTGCAACAATCACGATAGCAAAATGTAGTGAAAACAAAAATGTTTCCACATTACCACAGGTGAACGAGTTCAGGAATTCAATGCAGATATTTACTAATACTGAGAAAGTGGAATACACTAACACTACCAGCTATATAAATACATTGTATTAATATCCAAATTAATACAGTTAATGACATTCAGAAACTGTTTTAAAATTTCTTTGGTCACATGATTCCATCTTAATATTCAATATTAAGGATTTAAAAAAGGTTAAAGCATTATAGTGTTTTACAAAGTATATAACCTTTACATAGTTAGAACAATCACATTTACACCTTTTACAAAATAACCACAGTAAGTGACCGAGTTAAAACAAGAGTATAAAACACAATTAAGTGATTATTAAAAAAGTAGTTCCTCGTATTTTCCTACATTTTTCCATGAATTTCTGAAACACTGTATTACTATTGGTTCTGTTGTACAAAACATACATAAAACCCTGAATATCTGAGCAGTGTCTGCTATATTGAAAATGATTTACATATTCAATGTAAATGCAAATATTGTCAGTGTTGTGTCCTTATCCTCAAAGTAATAGATAATAAAGAGTTTTTATGCATATTTCTACGCTGGAGTAGAAAGACACCCAGAGGTTTGTTATTACCTCTCAAAGCTACTGTACCTAGCTAGACTTACAATCAGACATTTACCTTCCCTGGTTTTGGTGGATAATTATTAATGGTTAGATAAAGGAATTGGAATTGGGGAAATTATTTTAATTATGGGACATATTTTTCTGCCTCCTTCTGATTCCTTCTTTCTTTTTCATTTATTTTGTAAGGTGATGAAGCTCCGTAAACTGGCACAGCAGATTGCCAACTGCCGTCAGTGTCTGGAACGTTCAAGTGCACTCATCATTCAGGCAGAGCACAGCCTAAAAGAAAATGACCATGCCCGCTTCCTGCAAACAGCCAAGAATGTAGCTGAAAGGTGAGATACTCTTCATATGTAGTAGTAGTAGTAGTAGTAGTAGTAGTAGTAGTAGTAGGAATTACTCTTGGTGCCTGACTTGTAGTAGTAGTAATACATAGAAATTAGGAAAGTTGTAATAAAATAAGAAAAATAAAAGATAAAAAGAAAGATAAACAGAAAGATCAAAGAACCATTTTGACTAAAAGATAGATTAAAAAGATATGTTTTCAGATGTTTTTTTTAAACAATATACCGAGCCTGACTGCCTAAAAGTGGTAGTGAGTTCCATAATTTAGAAGCATAAAAACAAAAAGCAGCCTCTCTCCTCTGTCTGTATTTCACGTTGGTCTTTGCAGAAGACCAGTATTTGCAGATGTCAGGTCATGTATAGGAACATATAATGACAGACATTCAGTAAGGCACATAGGTGCTAGGCCATTTAGAGCTTTTAAAACAAATAAAAGAACTTTAAAATCTATCCTAGATAATACAGGTAACGAGTGAAGTTCTTTCAAAACAATACATGTTCTTCTAAAGCAACCTTTCCTTTACTTTATGGTGTGCAGTTACTCATTTAAGTATTACAATGAACATACAAAATTAATGCTGATTTTTTTCATTCTTTAATGAATCTGCCCATTAAAAAATCTGAACACAAGTTTAAAGTATCCTCCTAATGATGTTTTGGAATTGGATGAAAATATTTTTCTGTGGAATCATAATGTGGCCATCAACATTTCACTTTTGATAATGCAGGTGTCTCTATAGAAAATACATTGCTAAAGAACTATATGTACAACTTATAGGTGCTGTGGGCAGTATAGTTATTAACCTTTTCAAGGATTTAATTAAACAACATGGTGTTTATGCAGTGATGCCCAAAACTAACAACTTCTTGTATCCAAAGTTTGGTGAGTTCTGTACAGTTGTTTTAGAGTTGCATGATTTCTACTTTGGTTCTCGTAAAAATAATGTAGTGCATGTCCTAGTAGTACAGATGCAGCCATTTAAAATGCACGGTAAAACCCTGTAACGCACAAAATAACCCACAGTTCACTGCGGTGTACTGCAATACATGATTTGGCTGGCCAAAATGACCAACAGGGGAACTTGTGGTGCATTGGTTGTTAGTGAAACGATTTAATCATTTAATCTCTTTATTGTGCATATTTTCATCTGCTTAGCATTGAATATATATATGGAATTTTAAAACTAAAGCAAAATTTTAGTAGCTGAACATAAAATGAAGAGGAAGCATAACGCGTCTGAAGGTCATAAACGATATTAATTTAGGAACATAAACATATTATGTAAACTGTATATGGCTGATATTAGTAGTTTAAATAAAAAATACACACCAGTATAACACTTTATTCCTAAACATTTTAAGCGTCAAAGCGTTTAATTCGGTTACATATTGTGGTTATTTTGGAAAAGTTTTTACGTGCTCCTTCTGACTATATTAAGTTTATATACTTTATAAAAACTTATAATGTTTTAACATTTTCTGCGAATACTTACACTCGTTATTACAGTAAAATTACACATACTTTTTAGAATTTGATTAATAGAGAATAAAATCAGGAATTGTGCATCTAAGGAAATTATGATATTAATTTAAGGGTCTAAATACATGTGTTTATATAGCTGGTAGTATTACTGTAATCCACTTTCTTTGTAAACACGTTTTATTTTTCATTTGACTCATTCACGCATGATAAATTGTGAGAGAGTGATAGATGGAGACAAGATGGAGGTTGTCAAAACAACATTCCCCAGAATGCAGTGGGAAATAATGTACCACCCTCAGTCACCCGGCCATCTGATGCACTGTATCAGAGAGAATGACGGATGGATTAGCCCTTTAAGAGTACAGTTCACACTGTAGGATATGTATTCGATGCTCCAGAGATGTCACATTTTACTGTACATGTCAAACAGGTTGCTTTCCGTTACTGATGCGCTCCCATAGCATTTTTTTTTCCATAGCCTCCGCTTTATCATTTTTACAGTATGCCTATTCCAGAGACATTTTCATTGTCGATAACAATGCGGGGAGAGAGTGTAGATTCCAAAACACTCTACGGCAGCAGAAGTGAGCAATTACCTGCTCGAAAACAAATGTGTTCCCAAAAGCATATACTCCACAATTATCGCAACATTTGCAAACATTCCCGATACATAACCACGTTATGTACTCTGCATTGTTCTATTTTATACCGTGACTACACACTGTGTTAATTATTGTTGCTGCTGGGATTTGAGCTTTGAGTCGCCTACTTACTTCTTTGACTAGCTTGCAGAGAAAGTCATTGCCCTGCTTTTTGTCTATCACTTAATAAAAAGGTCAATGTAGAACACGTCATCTGTTACTGTGAACGTATTTTGGGGCACTTATAATAGAGAATCCCCATTATCCCCATTTTGATTAAAATCACAAAGGTGTGTTTAATTAAGTCCCTTAATTAAATTTAAGCATAGCTTTCTCACCATTTAGGTTTATTTTTCATACTATCGTTAAACAAAGCAGGAGCGTATTGTACTTCCTCATGGGATCACACATAGAAACATTTCACAAATTTTAGGAAAGTGTCATCTATACAAAAAAGTTGTATTTATGTAATACCACTTGATAGAGTTAAGAATTCAAGTTGTATACTGTTTAGACTTTTAATCATTTTAAAATATTACAGCATGTTAAACGTTAAACATGAAAAAGTATATATATTGTTTTATATTATATTTTATAAAAGCAAGATTACTCAGTTGGACAAAAGTACACAACCTTACAACATTCATCATACATATTTTAATTATGCGCAAATACTGAGATGGACAGTTTTAGTAAATATGTTGACATATTTTTGCCAGATAAAATTCTGCCAGAGCCTCACAACATTGTCCAATAATACTTTTCTTGTGTCTAATTTTTAGTTAAGTTGGATTTGAGCTACAGTATATTATGCATTTTTTTTACTGTGATAACGAGCGCATCTTAGTATAGTCAGAAAGAGGACATAAAAACATTTCCAAAATAACCACAGATTGTAACAGAATGCAACACTTTGACGTTTAAAATGTTTAGGAGGAAAGTGGATTACTGGTGTGTATTTTTTATTTAAACTACCAATACCAGCCATATACAGTTTACATAATATGCTTATGTCCTTAAATTAATATAGTTTATGAGCAATCTCCGGGAAACTAAAGTGGTTCCCAGGCACAAGTAACTTCATAATGCAAGAAGGCATTATGCTATACAGATGCAGCCATACAAAGTGTGCAGTACAAACCCATACTGCACGCAACTACCTACATCATACCACGGTACGTGGTTGGCCGGCACTCGTAGTGCAATGGTCAGTAGTGAAAAGATTTAATCATTTAATCTCGTTACTGTGCATGTTTTAATCCACTTAGTTTTGAATATTTATATGGAATTTTACAACTAAAGCAAAATATTAGTAGCTGAGCATAAAAAGAAGAGGAGCTTAATGCGTCTCATGATCATAAACTATATTAATTTAAGAACATAAAAACATCATGTAAACTGTATATGGCTGGTATTGGTACTTTAAAGAAAAAATACACACCAGTATTCCACTTTCTCCCTAAACATTTTAAGCATCAAAGTCTTACATGTGGTTATTTCGGAAACGATTTTATGTGCTCCTTCTGACCATATTAAGTTTATATACTTTGTGAAAAGTTATAATGTTTTAACCTTTTCTGCGAATACGCTCATTATCGGAGTAAACAAAAGCATACTTTTAGAATTTGATTAATAGGGAATATAATATGGAATTGTGTATCTAAAGAAATTAATAATGATATAATTATATTCATATACTGTAGCTCAACAGTAGTATAAGACTTTCTATTGATATGTGTATGGCTGTTTCACTGATTTCCACGTGTCTGTGGCGTGATGGCTAAAGCTTGTGCCTCATAAACCTGAGGTCTGGCTTCGACCCCAGGTGTCGCCATTAGTTTTCTTTTAACAAATAAACATTTCTTTGAAAAACTAAAATAGCAATTATTATGGACACTATATTGACATTTTTTTATATTTCCAATTATCACAACATGTTCAAAGCTAAGTCATTTATTAATAACAACGAATAATTTCAAACCTCTACTGATATTATTACTGACAATAAATATTATCAACACTATATTGAATTTGTTGGTCTTTCTAAATATCATAAAACATTAAAAGTTAAGTGATTACCATTTTCCATGAATACAGATGCAGCCATTCAAAATGCGCAGCCGATACCGCATTATTTTGCGGTGCGCTTTACACAGTCTACCGCGAGTTACCGGTAAATACCGCTAGTTACCGTAAATTCTCCTATAATACCGCAAGCAAAATAATAGTATCAGGAATTTCCACAAGGTGGAGCTAATAAAGCTCAACCTCTCATGTTTTGAGCTGTCGCCATCAAAGTCTTTAACGAAGATATTACTAATAGTATTAATAATGGATGACCTTGGACAAGCTGTAAACTCAAAGTATTGCCCTGGTCCACATTATTTTTTTCATTGACCGTCTTTGTAAAAGTAACACCACAGCATTTTGCAATCATGCATTTGTTTCCAATCATGCAAGGTACAGAAATTTTTGAGAATCGATTCACCATGCCTTTCACATGCTCATAAAAGAGATTGATTTAGGAACATAAACATATTACCGTATGCAAACTGTACCGTATACAGTATGTATATGTATATTTAATGTCTTAACTGTGCCCGTTTAAGTATTGAATATTTATATGGAATTTTACCACTGAAGGGAAATCTTAGTTCCTGAGCATAAAAAGAATAGGAGCATACTGTAACGCATGTGAAGGCCATAAACGATATTAATTTTGGAACTTAAACATACAGTATATGGCTGGTCTCGGTACTTAAAACATAAACACCAGTATTCCATTTCTCCCTAAACATTTTAAGCATCAAAGTATTTAACGAACGTGATACCGGAGTCAACAAGCATACTTTTAGAATTTGATCAA